CACCACGACAAGGTGGCGCACAACGAGGAGGTAATTTCTATTACTGTAATCCGTCGCTCTAATCTAATCTTTTTCAGAGCTGTCAAAAAATCAAGAGATATAATTGTCATAACAGAAGAAAAATATTGAATAAGATAAGGTAATGTTAAATTAATTTTACAACTTAATTTAATTAAAGTTATTAAATATACAAATAATATACAACTTACAGAAATTGTCAAAACATGCAACGAGCCAGAAATTTTACTACTGTTGAGAAAAATGACTTATTAGATATTATATATTTATATCGTCACATTGTTGAAAATAAAGAAACTGATAACATTACATTTAAAAAAAAAATGAAGCATGAACTAATATTGCTATGGAATATAATAAAAATAGAACAATTATACGATCTGAACAAAATTTACGTAATTGTTGGGAAAACATTAAAAGAGATACAAGAAAATATTTTGCAGAATTGAAGCGTAAAAGTTATAAAACAGGTAAGCGTTAATTTATTATTAAAGCTATAAGATTTTAATTTAATACATTTTTATGGCATTTGTAGGTGGTGGTGTAGTACACTTTGAAAAAAAAAAAAATCATTTATTTAAGCGAGCCCGAGATATTATAGGTGAAACAACAGTAAATGGATTATTTAATCCTTTTGATTCAGATTATAATAAGGAAAATATGAGTAACAACAGTAAATGAATCATTTAATTCTTATGATTCAAATAACGAAAATACCAATACTGTTAAAAATATAATAGAAATTAGTGAAGATAATAATCCAAAGAAAGTAATTTTAGTAAGTCATTATGAAATCAAATCATTTATAAAGTTTGTAAAGTTTCATTATATTTTAAATGTTATATTTTAAATTTGTAGTATTTACTTAAGAATAAAGATGATGGTTGTGGAAATCTTGGGACACAAAAAAATTAAAATTACAGAAAAGTTATCCATTACATTTTGAAAATACATCGACACCGAAGAATAAAAATTGCAAGAAAATAAAACTTGAAAATAATACATTAGATGAGGCTAAAACTGAATTAATCTACACACTGCAAATAAATGAAAAAGAAAAAAAGAGTTATAAAATTGACATACTAAAAGCTAAACTTGAAAAGGAAAAATTGAAAATAGAATTATTAAAAGTATCGTTAGAGAAAGAAAAAATATTGAAAAATACAATTGAAGAAAAAAGGAACATCTCACAATCTATCTTATAATAATTAAATCTTATAATAGAAAAAAAGATTGCAATATTTGTTGATTATTAATGCTCTTTTTTTAATTTTTTAAATTTTGTTTAATTAAAGTTGTTGATTAATATTTTAGTTTAAAAATGTGATAAATATAAAATATTTATTTAGTTATGTTAAAGAGAAGAATAGCAATCAATCAATCAACAATAATTTATTTTAAATATTTTATTTAAAATATTTACAATAAAATTATTAACTTTAATTTGTATTTGAGTTTAACTTTTATTCAATAAGACTGTTTAATAAGACTGTAACAAGTTAAATTGTTTTACTTTAAAAAAAAAGTGATCTCATATTAAGTATGTTATATTTTGTTAAATCACTTTTATTATTAACTCTGAAAAGTATTATGTTCAAAATGTAAATGTTAAAAACAATATATATGATTGTATATCATATATTTATCATAAAATACATAAGAAAAATATAAAACAAATTTTTTTATAATTTTTTAAATAAAATTGTATTTCATAAAACTGTAACTGTTTATTACCTTCAATAAATCCAAAATAAAAATATTTATTTATTGTTTATGCCGTTATTTTCAAATTTTATTTAAAATAACCTGTAATTATTAAAATATATTAGTTATTATAAATATCATATATTATAATAAATTTTTATAAAATTGAATATAAAATTTTCATTACTTATCAAAATATTCCAAAATTAAACGTTGTCGTTCATCATTATAATTCTCATTATCCAGGTTTACATTTTGCACTTGTGCTATAACATTATTATATGTTTCAGGATTAATCAAATTTGGTTCATTTTCCTGCTGCGCAATGTTGTGCAATACAGCTGTCGCTATAATAATAGTAAGTATTTTATCAACTGTATGGAAACGCGATCCAATAGACAAAACAGGAAATCTTCTTTTCCATATACCAAAACATCTTTCAATTTTTGAGCGTGTTCGAATCTGCGATTCGTTATAAAGATGTTCTGCGGGTGTTGTCGGATTTCTTAACGGAGTCATCAAGTATGATAGATTCGGATATCCAAGAAGAATCTCCAAGCAGTAAACCATCACTGAATCTATTTTCTTCAAATAAACTCTTAATCCTTGAGTGATAAAATATAGTGGAATCATGTGTGGACCCTGGCCAACGTGCTACTACATCTATTATTATTTCCAATCTTGCATTAATAACTACTTGTACATTTATAGAAAATAACCTTTTCTGTTACGATACAATTCATTGTTTTCTCCACCTAAAAATAAACAATAAAAAAAAGTATATTTTAAAGATATATTTAGAAATAAATTTTTCTTACCATATGATTGAATTTTGACATGAGTACAGTCCATGCAACCAATAACACGTATAAATTTGGCTGTTTGAAAAAATTCTTGTTGGTTTCTTTGAATGTCTTCTGGAGATATAGGAAGTTTTATAAATTCATCTCTCAATGCAGCAATAGCAGGAGACACACGATGAATTATATTTTGTGCACTTACTTCACTAATTGTACAAAAATCGCCAATAGTTTTTAAAAATGATCCAGTAGCATAAAATCTAAGAGTGTAATTCCATTAATTGGATTGCAGGTGGAATAGCATTATTACTGAAATATATAAAATATATAAACTTTAAATATCTATACTGTATATATTTGTATACATAGAATATTCACACATACCGATTGGTTTTATGTTGTATTTCATCTTCAATTCTTTCTAATAACATCATGAAACTAAATCTTGAAAGTACAAATTTTTTTTTGAAATCGACTTCATCAAAAATTTCCAAGTAATTAATACGTGGCCTAATGAAACGTGGTCTTCGTCGATTTTGTCTATAATATTT